TCCAGCTTCTCCGGCTCCCGAGCTATCAGTTTTCCTGTCAAGAATTTCACCTGCCGTACGTGAGTACCACGCGCACCCGAAAGTTGAATTTGGAATATTTATGTTGTACATAGATGGAGAATATCCCCTCAAAATTCCGGCTTTCCAGCCGTTCTGGTTCTCGAGTTAGCAGTTTTCCCGCCAAAATTTTTACGTGCTTGTACGCGGAGCCCAGACGTGCTTGAGGGTTGGTACTGCGGCCCTGGGGCAGCACATAGCGGGAGAGCCCACTGGCAAAATTTCAGCACCGAAGCTTGCTTGGTTGCCGGTTTAAATACCTGGACAGACGCACGCACAGATACACACACCATGGGTCGTCAAAATTCGTGTTTATGCATTTACATATATGCAAAAATGCATTAAAAAAACATTAAGTAATATTTATGATTTTCAAAATAAGCAGTTATTTGCCAGTATTTCCCTCTCATTATCGCTATTGAAAGCATGCAGCACGAGGCGTGTGCAAACAATGGTTTAGGTATTGCCTTGACAAATGCCATCCATTTCCCACAAGAATCAACGCCTTTTTTTAATGCAGCGTTAGAATGAAGCACTGAATTTAAACATTTTGCATTCAGATGCATTGGATAAACATTTACAGTTTCTTCTTTTCCGCATCGGACTTTCTTCCTCTTTCGTTGTTCTTCTTTTTACTTTCTCGAAATCTTGCGCTCTTTTATAAGTCTTCATTATCATGATTAAATCTAACTATCTAACAGCTTGATATCAACGTACACGCGCTTGCCAAACCATTCGCTTTAATCACGAAATATCTGACTCATTCAGGGTACTCGCAGTAACATCGTCTTAGCATAGCGATTTATGGCCAGGTAATCACAAGCAGTAGCAACGCTGTCAAGGGGTCTTGATTCCGTGGGCTAGGCACTTGGAATTACCACAGTTGCACCTGTTGGTGCAATTAGTTTTTTGAAAGTGCTGGAATTTTGCTGACTATTGAGCGTTTTCTGCGCTTGCAGGTGATGTTCTTTATGTAGCATCAACATATGTTCAAAATGGTGGTCCATTTCGGGATGATGTTCCGGCGGTTGCATCCCTGTCGCTTGACCAAAATCGTCTTTTCGATGTCTCAGCGCGGGGAGTTGGCACCGGAACGGAGATCAAGATGGAGAGGAGGTTTCGAGGGCAGTATAAGTGAGTTTTCATTTGTTCTTACTTTACCGGTGATGTACTTTGATATCGAACAAAGGCTACAACAACATTGTATGTTTATGGTAATTACATTTCAGGATCGAATATGTTGGTGGCTTTCAGAGCGGCAGATTCGCTTATTTTGTAACACGTCAACCAAAAGGAGATAATACGCAGGGAACTTGGCCTTTTATTTCCAAACTG